GCGTGAGACCGTGCTTCTAACGTTCCCGATCCTGTGCCAGCGTCTGAGCTTCTGCAGAAGTCTACAGGAGGCTAGAGTACACTCCTTCCATATATTTCCACATATAAATATATAAATATATACTTTTACCTTAAATTACGTACTTTTACCTTAAATATATGGCGAATTTGTCATTCGTCGTCTACCATTGAGATTAATTTGCATAATTAACTTATCTTTATCGGCATCGAAGAATACACTCCAAGATCCGTAGTACAAAATGTTCCTAACAGTCTTATCAAGTTATCTCTACTTTGGGATAGCACATGATTTCCAGTGCAAGCACATCGATAGAAACCGATGGCTCCGGTAGTATTTATGCCTATTGGTCATATGATCTTTTTCATTAGGAGGAAGAATCATGATGCAAGGCAAATCTTTTCTCCAGAGGGCAGACATTTCTATCTTTCATCGTATTTCCATGCGTTGGGCAAAGTGGGGACTACTGTCACAATTTTCTTGCCTTTGTTTATAGTCGAATGTCTATTGTTTCAGTGGCTTTATCTTGAACGCGTGATCAAATTTCTCACACGTTAGCGAGAGAAGCCCCGGGCTGCTTGAATACTTGAAATGCGTACATGTCAGGGTGTTTTACCCAGGCAAGTGATTTTGCACAAGGGTGGATGCATAATCCCTGGATCGTATATAGCAATGGTTGTTACCTGCAGTGTATCATCATATCAAACTGCCCCTGACAGTTGGCAAAACTACTATGTGTATCGTTTACTTGTGCATGAGTAGAAACACATTCGATGAGGGTAACATACCTGACCCATATCTGCGGTTTTATGCGCTTTCTATCAGGTTATGAATCTCTACCCGGATATAAGCTCAAAATCCTAATGGTTGCACAATGGTCTTTCATAAGAAGAGTCTCCCGACCCTTCAGAATGGTTTCATACGAAGGTTATTCTGCTCCACAAGTAGAGATGAATTTATTTATCACCTGGAGGCTGAAGGTCATATATAACGAATCTTGCTGCCATTCAACAGGGATCACTCGCTGGCATTCTCAATGTACTTCAAAAATATTTAAATAACTGTCAAAATTTTATCGTTTGAAACCATGATCGCACTACTCCTTTGATTCTGGGGGAGCGGGCAAAGGTTCCATGGCATAGCGATACCATAGTGCATGGATGCATCAAATCCATATCACTGTGCTGGGTGAACAAAAGCCTGTCCGGACACCAGCTAGATGGTCGTTAATGGGAAGTCGCGCTCACTGCTAACGATGCTTGAAGCCCTAATACTCCTCAAACACTGCCATATGAACATAAAATTATTCACCAGCGAAGAACCAAGTTCTCAAACACCACCAAGCCCTCCCCCTCCAAAAGCGATTAAAAGCAAGGAGCGTTGTATTACATCACGAAAGCTGGTCTTGAAGGAGTTATTTATGGATGAGTTGCTTCGATGAGTTATTTAATATGCGTTGTAAGAACATATTTTCGTATTCCAATGAATACATAAATAATTTAGAGTGATAGTTTTACATCTGTTGCGTGTTTTCCGTATGGGATCAAAAATGAGGTGATTGTGGAAAACTTGGTGACTGTGAGGACTCGGGTGGTTTTGTGACGGTGAGGTATTTCTGGTTTGGATGGTATTTCTGACTTAGGTTACTGGTGTTTTCTTGTCGGAGGAAACAGACCGTCGCCGGCCAGGGCAGGCGTCTGGGATCTCAGCAACGCTTAATGAGTTCGTCGGCGAGTCCTGATCGCATCGACATGCACCTCCGAACGACCACTTCTGGCGGCGCCGCTCGGACAGCCAGCT